ACCTCTTGGCCTCTCTCTCCTCTCTCTCCCGAGTCAGCATACCCTCCAACCTCCTAGCAATCCCACTACCTGCTAGTATGCAATATCCATCTACAACTTTTGGGCCATGCTAAATATGATACTGGGGTTGAGCCCCTCAATAAATCAACGAACCCGCCCTCGAACAGTAGCAACCAAAGCTGGGGCATGCCTAGCCAAATCACTGAATCAGACCGTATACTCTAACATAGTCATAGAACCCTAGCGCAACTGCTCAAACTCTGTGTGCCATGCATCTCTGAGACTCTGGGGAACATACTCCCTCAAGAACATGTCTGAGAACTGAGTCCAAGTGAGTGAATCTGCCTCGACCGGACTACCCAACTCATATTCTCGCCACCACTGATAAGCCGCTCCTATAAGCTGGAACGTAGTGAATGAAACTCCACTAGTCTCCGCAATACCCATAGTACGGAGGATACGGTGATAGAAAACCCTGGGCATCCTCTGACGCCAAGCCACTGAAAGTAGGGGTGGTACTTTTTGTACCTCTCGAGCCTGAGCTGCTCCCCCTCAGAAACTGTTGCCCTAACCTCGGGCTGAACTGGAGCTACCGGCTGTATCGGTATGACCTCAGGAACCTGGTCGACCTGGACTCGCTACTCTAGGGTACCGGCGAGCAAGTGGTACCAATCCTGCCTGAGCCAAGGTATTGAACATGCTCAGAAACTGGGCTAGAGTCTCATGGAGGGCTGGTGCAGTTACAGGCGTCTCAGGTGCCTGCCCTCCAACTGGAGCTACTGATGGCTCCTCTGTAGCAGCTCATGCGGGTGCTCTAACTACACCACGTGGACGTCCTCGGCCTCTACCCCAACCCCGACCTCTCGCTGCTCTAGCAGGGGGCGCGGGTGTCTGGTCATCTAATCCAGTTGTATGTGTCCTCACGCAAAAATTTAGAATCCGAAGTCAAAATCTCGCACGATAAGGAATCAAAGAAGTGAAGCTTTTCCTAACAGTTCTATAGCCTCCCGGAGATAAGTACAGACGTCTCTGCACCGATCCGTGAGACTCTACTAAACCTGTTTGTGGCTCATAATACCTATGAACCTAGTCCTCTGATGCCAACTTGTCACGACCCCACTTTCCCTCTGTAGGATATCGTGATGGAACTTAGTCTCTAAGACTAGGTAAGCCTAACAATTTACAGAATAACTGAATATAAAACTGAACTCAAATCTCAACACATGAAATATAAAGAGAAACTGCGATTCAAATAATTACAACTCTCAAAACCCGGTAGAAATAAGTCACAAGCTTCTAAGAGATTATACTAAGTGTCTTTATACATCAGAGTCTAAAGAGAATAAGCAAAACAACATGATAAGGATAGAGGGGGACTCCGAGGTCTACAGATGCTGGAAGATATACCTTGAAGTCTCCACGTACAGTCCAGCTCACTAGTATCTAGTCTGGTAGGAAGAACCTGGATCTACACAAAACGATGTATAGAAGTGTAGTATGAGTACACCACAGCGGTACCCAGTAAGTGCCAAGCCTAACCTTGGTAGAATAGTGACGAGGTCATGTCGGTGCCCTACTGGAATAAAAGGAAATGAGGCAGAAAATATAATAATACAATGAAATAAATGAGAAATGAACAACAAGAAAATTCAGAAAGGTAACATCACAACAAATAAAGGTAAACAATAGGGGTGCTGACGAGGTATCGCCTCGTAGTCCCAAATGTAAATACACAACAGGGGGATCTCTCGAGGTTCCATCTCGTAGTTCCAAAAGTAAATAAGCAACACGGGATCTCTCGAGGTTCCGTCTCGTAGTTCCAAAAGTAAATAAGCAACACGGGATCTCCCGAGGTACCGCCTCATAGTCCCAAAAGTAAATATGCAACGGGGGATCTCTCGAGGTAGCGCCTTGTAGTCCCAAAAGTAAATACACGACATGGGGAGCTTCTAAGGTACCGCCTCGTAGTCCCAAAAGCAAATACGAAACTCATAACTTATGGAACAATGAATTCACAGTAAGGAATCATACAATTAAAAGACTGAATACAAGATCACGGAGGCAAGTAATTCAACTAAGCATGTTATACAAATTTTAAGTAAAAGTTAAGATACATAGACATGCGATACTAGTCTAACATGACAGTTAAACATGCTAAGGTAACTCAGTTAAGGAATTTAAATGAAGACTACTCAGCAAGAATCGGAATTTTCACATTTAGACCATGTACACACTCGTCACCTCGCGTTCACGGCGCTCACATATCACAAATTGTTACAACAGTACCAAATCCTAAGGGGAGATTCCCCCAAACAAGGTTAGACAAGTCAGTTACCTCAAATCTTGCTCAATCAATCGATAAGAATGCCTTTCCCTCGACTTTCCGACTTCGATCGGCTCGAATCTATCCATAAAAATTACATACTATAAATATAACTACAAAAAAACTAATTTAAACAATGAAACTACGACTTTAGCAAAGAATTGAAAACTCGGCCCAAAACGTCGACCCGGGACCACGTCTCAGAATCGGATAAAAGTCACAAAATACGAATACCTATTCGACCACGAGTCCAACCATACCAATTTTAGCAAAATCCAACACCAAGTCGCCACCAAAATTCCCAAATTAAACTCTCTAAATTCCTAGTCTCAAACTCCGAAATTCCACCTTAAATACACACAAACTAGGTGAAAAAATCAATGGGGAAACAAAATTATTGATAAAAAATGAGTACAAGAGACTTACCTCAAGAAATTCCTCAAATATGCTCTCAAAAATCGCCAAGACCCAAGCTCAAAATGTTTAAAATGAAGTAAAATCGCTAACCCTTGTATTTAAATGTTATGCCCAGCACTTCTACTTCTGCGTAAACTTTACCGCTTTTACGGCGTCGCAGAAGAGACCACTCACCGCATCTGTGGCTTCTTCAGCTCCTGCGTCCCCTCACTCTGCTTCTGCAGACTCGCTTCTGCGAGCTTCCAAGCCACTTCTGCGGTCCTAACTTCCTTGCCCAATTCCGCTTCTGTGGTTCAAAGCCCGCTTATGCGGGTGCGCATCTGTGCAAGCACGTCCGCTTGTGCGGATAGGCCTTCCAAGCGCTTGTCCGCTTCTACGATCACTCTTCCCCAGAAATGACTCCACTTCTGTGGCCTTCACACCACATTTGCGACCATAGGCCATCTCCTCTAACCCTGCATCTGCGTCCAAATACTCGCTTTTGCGAGCTCGCACCTGCGGTCAATCTTACGCGAGTGCGATTGCACCAGAACTAGTGCACTTCAGCCATTCTCACAAGTCCAAATTGATCCGAAAACCATCCGAGGCTCCCGAGACCTCGACCAAATATACCAACCATTCCTAAAACATCATACGAACGTAGTCGAGCCTTTAAATCACATCAAACAATGCTAAAGACACGAATTGCGTATCGATTCAAGTCTAATGAACTTTAAAACTTCAAACTTCTACATCCGATGCCAAAACCTATCAAATCATGTCCGCTTGATCTCAAATTTTGCACACAAGTCATAATTGATATTACGGACCTACTCCAACTTTCGAAATCAGAATTCGACTACGATATCAAAAGTCCACTCCCGGTCAAACGTCCCAAAAATCGTCCATTTTTCAACTTTCTCCAATCGACGATATAATGACATACGGACCTTCAATTCAACATACGAACACTCTCCTAAGACCAAAATCACTCTACAGAGCTATTGGAACTGTCGAAACTCTATTTTGGATTGGTCTTCCCATAATTCAACTTACGGTCAATTGATATTGATACGAATGCGATGTACATGGTAGCACGAGGATTTTGCCATGAAAATGTGATTGTTATTGTGGGCACGCGGTGCCATACGTGCAAGATTCGAAAATTATGGATCATAATTTGTGATTTCGAGGAGTGGTACCTTGGGGTAAATCTTGTTGCAAGTCCATGCGTTGAGAACGATTTGATTAATTGAGTTGTTATATGTTTTCCTTATTGAGTTCGTTCATATCCCACCGGTGTTCTGATTATGAGGCTGTTCTATTACACCTCTACTTCTTGTTGGCATTTGAGTTCCCATTATCTTCGTCTTTGGTTGTAAATTATAATCCTTCCATTGTTAGTCCTATATTGATATTCTTTCCATTGTTAGTTTTATGTAGACCTGGCAAGATGGTTAAAAATAATAGTTATCCACCCAACCCAACAGACTAAAAATGGGTTGGATAACTGACTTTTTAAAATCGGATCGAATATGGATAATTACCCATATTATGCATTAGAAAAATGAGTAACCAAATGTGTAACCAATGGGTAAAATATGGATAATACAATTTTAAAGCTTTTCAGACCCATTAGAATTCACTCGCTTGCTACTGTCGGCTATTTTCACCACTTCAATAGAAAAGCCCTAAATTTCCAATTCCTCAAATCTCTCCGCTCTCTCATTCTTCGCTCTCTAGGCTTCAATTTACTTTCATAAGATTTTAGTTAGTCGAAACTTGGAAGTGTTTTGAAATCCAGTGGACAAACCAAGAGATTGAAGGAAGCGTTTTCAAACTAAGCATTTTGAAATCCCAGCATTTTGAACTCGAAATCTTAATACAATTATGCTGCACTTGAAGGAAGCCAACCTTCAACAGATTCATAGGTTCGTTCTTCTTCCTCGAGCATTATAATTGCTCAAATTAAATTTTGTTGAAAATTTAGGAAATAGTTTAGTTTTCACCTGAAAATAGTGTAAAAGTTAATGTTGGTGACTAACTTTGAGAAAATTGATTTGCTTGCTATGGTTTTGTGAAAATAGAACACCTACCAAGAGTATTTGAAGCTTAAAACAAGAGTGGAAGTGTTACAACAATCTCAAAGGTGAGAAAAACACTGAGTAAACCAAGATTAGATGTAATTTTTAACTCTAGAGTACTGCATTCTCTGTTACTTGTTAATAAATTGATTTATATAGAGCCTAATTCCTACGATTTACTTCATCTTTTGATAGAGATGTCGATGGAAGGTATTGTTGATTTTTGTGAACAGAGCTCTTCAACTACGCTGAAACGATCAAAAAGACAATTTTCCACTGTTTGGGATTCTTTTGTTAAGGTAACATAGCCTAGTATTTCTAGTGATGGAAAGTTTAAAGTCCAATGCACGCTTTGTAAAAAAGACTACATATACGATCCTAAATTTGGAACATCAAATTTGAAGCGATATTTGTTGATAAAACATCCGTTGAATAATGCAAAAGAGGGTCAAAGTGAACCGATAGATCAGAAAGTTTATCGAGAGAAAATATCATTAGCCATAGTCAGGCATAACTATGCTTTTAGTTTTGTAGAACATAAAGGCATCAGGGACCTTCATTCATATTTAAATCCAATAGCGAAGCACATATCATGAAACACGGCCAAGTCAGATATCTTGAATATGTATGCAAGCGAAAAAGAACTTCTAAAAAATGAGCTTGCCATTATTCCCAGTAGAGTGTGTTTAACATCAGATATATGGACTTCATTAGCATCTAATGGCTATATGTGTGTAATCGCTCATTATGTGGATTTGAATTGGGTGCTTCAGAAGAGGGTGTTAATTTTTCGTCATGTTCCTCCTCCACATTCGGGTGCGATTTTAGGTCCCTTATTGATTAACTTTCTTAAAGAATGGGGAATCGAAAAGAAAATCTTTACCCTTATTTTAGATAATGCTACTTGCAACAACGGTGTAGTGAATAGTTTAAAGAATCATTTTTCTTTGATGCGTTCACTAATTTGTGACGGAAAATTTCTTCATGTTCATTGTGGGAATCACATTTTGAACTTAATTGTTAAGACGGGCTTCGAGAAGGCTGATACAACTATTTCGAAAATTAGAGAAGGTGTTAAGCATATCAAGAATTCAGAAACAAGAATAATGAAATTTGTGGAGTGTCTTAGTAATCTTGGTCTACCATGTTCTAAGAAGCTACGTCAAGATATGCCTATTCGGTGAAACTCCACCTACCAAATGCTTGAAAGTGCTCTTCTTTATCGGCAAGCTTATATTCACTATAACTTGCTTGACACTGATTTTAGATATGGCCTTTCTGAAGATGAATGGAAAAGGCTCGAGATTATAGCTAAGTTTTTGAAGCCATTTTATGACATTACGACCTTGTTTTCTGGATGTAAATACCCCACGGCTAATTTGTATCTTCCTAACGTACGGAGAATTGAAATGTTGTTGGAAGAACAAAAAAACAGTGGAGATTCAGTGATGAGTGAGATGGGCACTTTGATGTTGGGAAAGTTTAAAAAATATTGGGAGTCATATAGTGTCATTTTATCTATAGCTATTATCCTTAACCCTCGATATAAATTGAAGTTTGTTAAGTTTTGCTTTTCAAAGCTTCATCCTGAGGAGATTGCTAATGAAAAAGTGAAGGCTATTGAAGAGAACTTACAATTATTGTTCAAAGAGTACTTGATACCTTCGACTACAACCTCGTTATCGGGGGATCATGCTTGTAATAGTGGTAGCAATGAAATGAGGGATGCATTTGATGAGTTTGAAAGTCAGTTTGAGTCAAGTATCGGTAAAACACAACTAGACTTGTATTTGGAGGAAGCTAATCTTGACCGTAAAACAAATCCGAATCTGGATGTACTTGGATATTGGAAGGATAACAGACAAAGGTATCTAGAACTCTCATTAATGGCACGAGATATCTTGAGTGTTCCAATCACCACAGTAGCCTCTGAATCTGTATTTAGCATAGGTGGTCGTGTCATTGAAAAGTTTTGAAGTTCTATTCTTCCCGCAAATGCCGAGGCAAAGCTATGTTCTAGAGATTGGATTTGTGAAAGAGAAGGTAAATTAATCTTATCTAGAATGGTTTATTTTATTTTTTGAAAAACTAATAAACTGTAATATTTTATATTTTTTCTTTTTAAATTGTATAAGATCTTGATGATGGATCAGACTCTGATGAAAAAGATGAGATTGCTATTGATCTTCAACCTTATCTTGCGAAACTTAGACTCAACAGTGCCCTCTGTTGTTCTCTTTCTATTTTCTTGTACTTTTGGGATTCTATTGAACCAACTATTCTAATATTTATGATGTTCTGCTGCTAAGATTCATATCTTAGCAGTATATACTGATACTTTTGGTGATTAATTTAATTATGATACCATGAGTGGTGAACGGAGGGGTCTATACATCTCACACAAATGACTTGCTTGTACTTGTCTAATTGCACAACCATTCGGTCGACAACATATGATGCAGATTTCTATAGTTTGAATGCAATTTCTGCACTGTTTCGGGCATCAGTTCAGCAGGATTTGAGCTGCATTCTTAAAAGTAAATTGAAGGGTCTACAGGCCAATTTTAGAAGCTCCTGCACTGCTGTTTTTGCCCAAAAAACCTAAACTTCTGCATTGCTGCTGCCTAAAGCCTGTCCTGTTTTTGCATAGTTTGAGCTGTTTTTTTTAGCACTGTTTCTGCATTGTTTGGGCTGATTTTCTCCCCATGTTATTTGCTCATATTCGCAAAATTGGACAAATTTGTCTTAGTACAGCTGATTTTCTGCATTTCGGTGTATTTTGCTGGTGCATTTCATTATATTTTGTTGGTGCATTTCAATGTATGTTGCCGGGGCATTCAATGTATTTTGTTATCTGGTTTAAAGCGCACCATTCTTGATTCCTGCTGGATGCAGTGGTGTAAAAATATGATCTTTTTTCTCTTGGTTGCAGTGGTGTAAAAAAAAGGAACTACAATGTGAATTTGCAGATGACAAAATAGATGAGGGAACGAGAAGATGAAGAGAATGGATAGAGAATTTGTTGATGAAGAACTAGTCAACCCCGTATTACTTGAATTGAAGATGAAGAGTTTTAGCTAGCGTTTGACCATAGATTCCCAAATTTATTTTGAAAAATCTGATTTGGGTGAAGTTTGGTTTGAAGATGAAAATGTGTTTGGACATGATTTTTCAAAACATATTTCACTTTTTATTTGAAAAAATATAAAACATGACTTATACCCATAAGTTCTAAAAACTATCACAAATACCCAATAGTACCATTATCACAAATCATAGTCGTGAACATAAATAAATTTGGTACAAAATTATTATTTTTATAGTGAACTATATAAATCATTAATTACAGTGAAATCCCATTAGAGAATTACGACTCCTAATTAAAAAGAAAAAATTAACTGATATGAGTGTTCAGAAAGCCATTTAGCCTACAAATCAGAAGCAAAGTAAGATGCACAAAGGATTGAGCTGATAAGGGAGCATATTCATCAAATATTTAGTTGGTCGTAACAAATGTGAGCTCTTTTACAAACTATAAAAGTTTGGGGTAATATTTAAAAAATTTAAAAAATATACCGGTCATGTTTTGGCCCAATATCAGCAATTGAGGTGATTTTGGGATTTTGGATTTGGGATTTTGCCAAAATGTGGGCAAAATCTATGGCAAAATATGTGTTTGCCAAATAAATCCCAAATTTATTTTGGCAAAACTCATGGCCAAACAGGTCTTTAGTAACTTTGTATATATTTTTATATTTAATCATAGTATTCGCTTGAAAAAATTAAAGTCACATGTTTTGATACTGTTAAACTTGCTATAAATATTACCTTATCAAAAACAAATTGCTATAAAAATATGTGAACCATGTAGCTAGGAACTCATTACAGTATATTTTCGAAATGACAAAAAGATATCAGACAGTGTCAGCATTAGTAGTTAGGCACTTTATTTGAAACTTCATATGAGGGAGGTAAATTTGCTTTGGTACAAACTTTTTGTATGATGAAAAAATTGACAGTAATACGATATTATTTTTGTTTTTAAATAAGAGTATGTTAATGCCTGAGTCAGCTCAAACTGTTCTCTTAGTTTAGATTTTGCAGTTCGGTTAAATTTCCTTCATCGAGAAAATGCATTTTAATATGACAAAAACAGATTTTCTTATGTGTGCGTGCTCGTATATAAATTATTGAATTATATTGACATAAAAAAATATTTAGCTTAGAGACATAGATGATCGCGAAATTGCTCCAAGTCGCTGATTTGATACAAAAAAAATGTTCTTCTGTTGCAAGGGGTAGCAAATTCATATTAGAGCTTGAGGCTAATGTGAAGGCATGGATGGATAATATGGTTACTCATTTTATTCGCCGGTTAACTCGTTTATTATCCGTATTAAATATGAGTCGGGTCGAATAATTTATCCGTTTTTCCATTACCCATTTCGATCCGAACCATATCCGACCCGACTCGCCCGTTTGCCACTCCTAGTTTTATGTTATATCTTGTACAAGTTTCTATGTCTGGTAGGTGTCTTGAACTGGCTTCGTCACTACTCCACCGAGGTTAAGCTTGATACTTACTGAGTACCGTTGTGGTGTACGCATGCTATGCTTCTGCATATTTTTGTGCAGATCCAGGTATTTTTAATCGTGTTATTGAGAGTTGTATCTGCGCGGCTAGAGATTTCAAGGTATACTCGCTTGACATTTTGCAGGCCTCGAAGTCACATTCAGTTATCTTCCCATTGCCGTTTATCTTTTTTTTAAGACAGTGTTGTATTGGAGGTTTTAGTACGTTTCTATATAGCTTATGACTCAGTTTCACCGGGCTTTGGGAATATTATATTGTGATTTTGCATTGGAGTTATTATAAGACTTCTCAGCTTTATTTCATATTTTTAGTCGTTATTTCTATAATATTTTCTTGTTGATTAGGCTTACCTAATCTTAAAAATTAGATGTCATCACGACATCCTAAGGTGGGGAAACGAGGTCATGACATAATCATACCAAAAAAAGAAAACACTTCTCCAAGAACTCTGTTATAGGTAAATTAAAAAGGGGGCATTTTCATATGTACCATTGTTGGGACTATCATTGAAGCTATATTCGTATCGCACAAAAATTTTCAAAGTATATCCGCTCGGATCTGAAGTAGTTCAATCTCTTCAACGCAACTTCAGAAATTAAATCTAAAGTTCTTTAATTTTTCAAATGCAACTTCAGAAATCAAATCTGAAGTTCTGAAACATAAACTTGTTATTCGAATTTCAACAATCCAATACACGATCCAATTCCAAATCTACTCTAAATGAGCTCAAATTTAAAATATAATTTTCAAATATCATAAAAAAATAAATCTTAATCATCAAAATAATAATAAATTTAACAAACTTATTTTGTAACTAAGAAGAAGAAAAAGATGAAACTCTAAGCAAAAAGAAGAAGAAAACATCTAAAAAAAAAAAGAAGACAAAAGTATATGTATCTAAAGTTATCTAAAAATTAAATATCAATTAATTTTTTTTAAAAAAGTGAATACAAATTTAGCAACACCAGACGCGCCGCACGAAAATTTTACTTTTTGTTTTAGCTACACCGAATCAAATTACAGCCCAGTGGTTGCAGTTTTGACCCTTTTCTATCTTGCCTTAATTCTAGTCATGAGCCTACTGTCGTAAAAGAAAATTAAAAGCCTAAATAGTAGTTGCTCGTATTCTACATTATCCTTTCACAATAATACGTCATATGTACTTTACTAAGATAACCAAAATCGATTTATGTTTGTTTTATTTGAAAGCGGTTTGGGCTGGCACAAATGAGTCAGTTGAAGTGGGTGTAATCATTTCAGCCCAGTTCCGTCTCCGAATTGGACACCCACATATGACAAATCCCACTAATAAGTCATATGAAAGACATGATTAGATTTTATCTTTAAATTGTTTGCTTTAATGGCGAAAATAGAATAGAAATTATTTAGATAAATTTGAGAAACAAAATGCCGTTTGTAACAGGTGTTTTACAAGGTGTTTTCGGGGCGAGCCCTAGGGCGAGGTGTATCAAAAATGCTCTGAGGCGAAAGTCTCAAGAGGCATACGCCTAGTAATTCGGAGCGTATACCCGGCGTTGAAGCGATTTTTTTGCAGTGAGGCGTAAGCCCAAAAGACTTTTTCAAATTAAAATAAAATTTGTTGAATAAGTCTGTAGGCATATAAATTTTATTGGAATTAAATCCGTAAAATAATTGGGACTATATTTTAAAATTCAAGATATATCAGTTCAAATAAATTTATTGGACTAATATAATTGGATTAATTATAAGCCCAATATATATGGATTACATAAATAAGCCTTAATCCATTGGGCTAGTCCATTTAATTGGGCTAAAGTGAGGAGCCCACTTAATTAAGCCCAAGATATCATCTTCCTAGAGGCCCAGTTGGGTGCCACGTGTCAAATGACGTGGCACGCCACGTCAAATGGAAGAGCCAATAGGACCATGCCACGTGTTAAAATGACAAGGCATGCCAAGTCACATTAAAAGGCTAATGAAATCGCGCTACATGTGCAAGCGACATGTTCTGGCCAATCAAATACGACCATGTCACACTTCAATTTGATTGGTCGGAAAGAGTTTGTTCTTATAACAACTCCTCCCTTCCACAACTATAAATAGAGGTCTTCATAACCCAAAAAAGACCACCAGAAGTGATAACAAGAAGCAAGAAAGAGCTCGTGGATCAAGCGCTGCAAATTCCTCCACAAGTTTCAAGCTTCAAGTTCAAGTTCAAGAAATCAAGTTCAAGCTCAAAAACGAAGAACAAATCAAGTTCAAGCTCAAGAACGAAGAACAAATCAAGGTCAAGTTCAAGCAATCAAGCTAAAGCTCAAGAACAAGATCATTGTTCGTGGCGGCAACTACATATTCAAGATCAAGCTCAAAGGCCCTTGAATTTATTTACTATTGGAAAGA